CATTTCACTGCATATTGTACTGTGTATGACTGTGTACGTGACAAATAAAATTTGAATTTGAAAATGGTTAATAAACTGGTCCGCATATACTGCTTTTCTACTCTAGCATTCAAAGTGCTTTTCATTCACCCAATTTTTTCTATGTCAAAGTGTTTTCTCTCGCAGATTCAAACTCCAGGAGCATCAGGAGCAACTCGAGGTTCATTATCTTGCCTAAGGACACTTTGGGTTAGTCAGGGATCAAACCAATAACTTTACAACTAGTAGATGCCCTGCTTCACATGCTGAGCCAAACCTCCTTTGAGTAGGATGGAAAGTTAATAACTTTCTCTTAATTGCTGTGATACCTGTTATCTCCAACTGGAGTTTTAGGTTTTTTCAAGCCAGCTAATGCAAAGAAAGCTTGGCATAGTTGAACTTCATTTGCACAATATCCCTTAGATGCTTACATCTATTTGTTTATTTATTTATTTAGTAGCTAAGTTATTTAGTAGAGACCCACTTTACACTGCACACAAAACATGTGCGTTATAAACATTAATTAAAATGATCACAGAATAAAAACACTGAATTTCTTAGGTGACAAATTTTTCATTCGTTTTTCATGATTTCATTTTTGTTTTTTAAGAACTTACACAAGCCAGAGTGCTACAGTACTGTCAAACTGTTGTCATGACAGGACATGGAATATAACTTTTAATAAAGTTTAAACACTTTATTGAAGTAAAGTTTTAGTGTAGTGCTATTTTACTGTATTTCTGTGATATGATAACATTGCACAGTTGTTGCAAATTTGTTGGCGACACTTTTAAGATGTGAATGTCCTGTTCCATTACATCCCAAATGTCTGTTTGTTCTGACTGTGGTCATAAATGGATGGCTATAGTCGGAAAGAACACTCGGATATGCTGTGGCAACTAAACAATGCTTACTGGGTACTAAAGGCAATGGAAATAGCCAAAAAATATCAACCATGCCATGCCAAAAGACCATCACCAGCACTGAATATTGCAGTACAATTTAAGACTCGTCATGGCAGGCAGCATTTTTTCCAATCTTCTGTTAACCAATTTTAGCGAGTCCTTATGAACTGTTGCCTCACTTTTTGTTCTCAGCTGGCATGTGTGGCACCTGGTGTATTCTTCTGCTGCCGTAGCCCATCTGCTTCAAGGTTTACTGTTGTGTGTGTTCAGAGATACTCTTCTGCATAACAAGTGGTTATTTGAGTTGTCTGACAATTCTCCTCTGATGTCTGACATTAAAAGTGGCATTTTTGCTCAAAGAACTGCTTTCTCATTGAATATCTGCTATTTCTTCACACTGTTCAATAGTTGCGCAGGAAATTCACAGAAGATCAGCACTTTCTGAAATACTATCAGCTTTAGCGTCACTTAAATCACCATTCCGGTCCATTCTAATGGTCAATTTTAACCTCAACAGGTCATCTTGATCATATCTACACATCTAAATGCATTCAGTGGCTGCCATGTAATTGGCTGATTAGATATTTACTTTAACAAACAGTAGAACAAGTATCTAATGAAGTGGCCAGTGAGCTTTGTGTTACACAACATTTATTTTCTAAGATTATTCTTACTTATTATTATCCACATTTAAAAATATCAGTTTTCTTAATATAAGTTATAACAGATAAATGTCTTTGCCAACTGTTGTTGTTGTTTGGCACTGTACAGATAAATTCTAAATGAATTAAAAGTTATCCCATGTACAAGTAATTTAATAACATTATAGCTATAAGTAAATAAATAAATAAATAATTTATAAATAATAGATAAATATGTGATTCTGAAAAGGCTGAATCTGCCTAATGATTATTTTTACTTTGGGTACTTTTAAGTATATTTTCTGATACACTGACGTTTGTGTTGTTAATTACGTGGAAGTTGGGAGCTGAAACTATTAATTATTCTTTTTGCAAATGTGTGTCAGGTAATGAGTTCAGTAAAACACATTAATAAATAGAAATGGTAGAGGAGCGTGTGAATAATAAAAACATTAAAGAAAATAGTTCCCACACTTGAAAAGAAAATAGATAGGTTTCAGTGTTCCCTTATCAGGCTTTTAATGCGATCGGAAAATAAGTCAGCTAAACATCCCCTTTAATTGTTCTCACATGCGAAAAAAATGCCTTGTGTCATCATTAATCGTAATTTTCCCGCTGCATTCACGAGAGGGGGAGGGAGGACCAGGAGAAAGCATGGTGTGCAAGGGAGGGAGGGAGGGAGTCCAGAAAGCCGAGGGGGAGGGATTTGAGCTAGAAAGTCAGAATAGTGCGATTCTCCAAGCTCCGTTGCGCACTTTCGAAGGACTACGCACCCGCTTCCCGCCGGCTTCAACGCAACGACGCGTCGCACTAACGATGTTGTGAATGAGAGGATGAGTGACGTCAGCGGGCGAATGTCAACAATGTAGCGACTGAGAGTAGGCGTTCCAGTCGAGTGTAACAAACAGCAGAGAAGGAGCGGCACGCCGTGCAGGATCAACACGCACACACACGCGCGCGCACACGTACACAACAAATCGTAAAATCACAGACACTGTAGCGTGTGTGTCTGTCTGTGTGTGTGTTTTAAATAAACATTCTTGTAAGTGACAAAGAACCGAGTTGCGGCAGCGAGAGAAGTCATCCATCTGCAATCAGGAGGGTTTGAGGAAACGGCAAACCGAGTCATCATGTGAAAGAACTTGTGGGAAACGGACAAAAGGGCTGGAGTACGAGCAGAATAGGACGGAAAAGGTGAGCTGGCGTGCACGTCTTTTTCCTCTCTGACCACTCTCTCTCTCGCTCTCTCTCTCTCCTTTTCTCGCTCTCTAGCTGTTCTTTTTGTTAGCTTTCAATCTTGGTCTATTGTTGATGCTCTCATAACCGAGACGCAAACTTGCATAAGTGACGCAGTGGTAGTGGGCTACTACCAACAGAGCCCCCTGCTGAGATGCATAAAAAATCTACTTTATAGGGGAAAAAAGCAGAACCGCACGCATGAATCTTGAAAGCCTGGCGCGTGGTACGAATATTGAAGCCTGTAATGTGATGGGGTGTGAACGCGGGTTCAGGAGTGAAACACAACTCTGTACCGCATCCTGTTATGCTTTGAGTCACCGCTCTCTGTGTGCTCCTCTGTACTGTTGTTTTTTTGTTTTTGTTTTTGTTTTTTTATCCAATATGGTAAAGTAGTCGGTGGTGATCCGTCAGGATGAGCTGCCACATGCAGAGTCATTAAACACCTTCCTCGTTCAATACGTGTGCATCTAGTTCATGTGGAGCTCATTAGAACTGTTACTACCGCTATTCCAGTTTATTTCACTCTGTGTGAAATCATTGTATTACTGTAGGGTCTTTACCTTAAAATATAAAGCCCATTGGGCGTTGTGATTTGGCGCTATATAAATAAAATAAACTTAACTGAAATAAGCACACCTTATCATTAATCCACATTATAACAGTCAATCCCTCGTTTGACGTTAAACCCATATTTCATTATTACATATATATATTTCTTAGTCTGCCATCATATTCGAGAATATAAAATAGGCATTTTTAAATCAAACTGCACCCTTGTGCGCGGAGCTGCATTGTCATGTGAGGAGATGCTGCAATCGCGTCTTATTCAATCTTGAGTCAGTAATGTGCTGAGATGCACCTCAGTCGATAAAAAGGGGCATTTTTAAGGTGACTCTTAAAAAAAATTGTGATCGTGGATAATATATATATAAACAGTGTAGTCTCACGTGCTGCCATGCATTACGACCTTTAAAAGATTCATGAGAATGTGCTTCGTTTGTGTTTACAGTAAGATTAGTTGGCTTCATATCGGTGGCTGCAGGCACTCGCGTTTGCATTGTTTCCCTCTGTCGTTAAAGAGACGCGTGTGTGCAGGCAGGCAGGGCTTTTTCTTAATAGTGTTTGTTTCGTCATGACTATTGTTTGATGGCCATGTGTTTGCCTCGGCAGCGGAGGAGCCTGGAATCATAAGGGAGCGGAGTGATGCTGCTATAAATGCGGTGATGCAGCATTTCGAGGAAGCATACCATCCTCTTTGTCTGATAGTGCTGATGCAAAGCAAACGGCGGAACGATCGCAGCATCATGGATGGATCCTCCATCATCATGATCAAGAACCTTTGTCATGATGCGTCGCGCATTCTTTTGAAACGCCCGAAACGCCTTGACTCCACGCAGCCGCCACAGGGATGGGTTTAAGCTGTGCCGAGAGCAGGTGCATGGGTAATAGGAGCTAATAGGATCTCACTGGTGGTGTAAAGGCAGCTGACGTGAACTCACATTTTCACAGACAACGCGCTGCTTTGGCGACGCGTGCACGGCAGTGGCACTCATGCGCAGTTTTACGCACTGAACCCTTTGTTCTCTACAGTAGCCCCCTGCCTTTCTTTTCCCAGGCATGGCAGTCCTCTGTGTACTGTGAGGAGGAGAGGGGGTGGAGTCCATACTGTAAACCTCATAGTGACTTTGTCAGCTTACGTCAAGCTTTGGTTTCTTTGCTCATTAGTATAAACAAGACACGCGAATCGCATAAAACTAATACTTTCATAATTGCGTGTCACATTTTATTGTAAGCACGATCAGTTTAATAGATCACCACTGAGAAATCTCTTTATTACATCACTCAACAATCATTAACAGCAAGAAGATTTTCAGTTCCAGCTGGTCTGTTCTCTGACCAGCGTTTAGTCTCGTGTTCTTACCATGTGGAATGATATGTGTAAACCAGTGACTGTGCATTCAGAAAAAACTACAGACTTTATAAGAACCAAAGAATTCAAGATCCTTGAATGAAATCTAGAGGAAAATTTCACAACAGCAGAGATGGTGAAATAGCTTAAAACCTTATGATGGGGCAGTGTTTGCAAAGTTTTAAAGCCATTATCATTATTATTATTATTATTATTATTATTATTATTATTATTATTATTATTATTATTATTATATTCAGCTTGTGATTCTATATTTGTAGTTTTTATGTCCCAAAAACAACTTACATTTAAGTAATGATTCATAGTAACTGCCCAGACGAGTTTTACCACAGCTAATAAGTTGCACTGCATAAGCATCAATTTATTTGTAATATATACAAATATACTTACACTAGGTGTCCGTAACAGATCAGAGCAGTAGTACAGTCACAATAGACCTGGAAGATTACAATAATGCTTATCAATTATCTGCAGCCTTACAAAACCCAGCAATAATGATTGCGATGAAAAACTACCATATCTTGTTTGTTTCTTTATTAAACTCTCTTCTAATTTTGGCAGCATCACTACACAAAATTAGAATTGTCTTGTCACACTGTAATTCCCACAGACAACAGTAAAACAGGAATATTGAATTGTTGCACAGTTATTGCATCACGTTTTGAATTTCTCTCTCCCTTCTGCCTCCTTAATTACCCCAAAAACCTGCAGCTTGAAAGTCAAACCAGTGCACAGGCTGTAGCTTGTAACCGCAAGCCTTGTTTCTACCTATTTTAATGTGCAAGTAATATATAAAATCCACCCATCTTCTTCTGTTTATTCAGGGTTGCTATTATATGATATAATACATCTGTAATAGGAACAAAAAGTACAAACTAGTCATATGTTCAGTAATATGTTTTCTGTAATGCGATGAGATGTAATCTATGATCAATTGTTACTTGTTTTATTGTAATCCTTGTTTCCATCAAATTTTGTATTCAATCCAAAAGGACTGAAAAGAGTCTGTAGAATAAATAGTGGTTAGATGGGGCTAATGTCATCACAATGCAGTACTTCTTAATTGTTCAGAGTGTGATTAAGAGCTGAAAGAACATTGTGAGGACAATGACATCACTGATGATACCTAAACCTAAACCTAATTCTGTGTTTGAGCCCAAAAAAGGAGGCACACTTGTGTACAGCCTCTTTAAAAAGTCAACAGCATGCAGCCTCATGTTGATAATGCTACATGACATGTAGGTAGATTTCTGACTGACTGAAAAGTTGTGTTTCAGGTATTTCCCACTACTGACAGTGCACAACTACAGCACAGTGTATAGATGTGGGTTAGTAAAAGCTCTGCATATTACCTATGGACAGTCAGCTCACTACAATGGCAGGTGCTTTGGGGTTAGGATTAGGAATATTCAGATGTCAAAGGGTAAATAGTTTATTTTTATATTAAGATCCCTTCCTTTCCATGGCACTAAATAGGAAATAGGAAATAAATAATAACAAAAACGAAGCAAACAGAAGGACATTGGTATCATGATGTTAAACCATTGTAAATGTTTAATTGAATAGTTGAATTAGTTTGCCATAACCCCCAAATGGCTAGATTTTTGAATTTTTGTGCTTTGCTTAAAGCTTCCAGATTTATTTTGGACTTTTAAATACTTTCTATTTTTTTTAAATCTCTATGTGCATCCAAATGAAAAATGAAGAAGGCGCTTCTGAAATCTGTTTAAAAATACATAGGACCATCTCACTGGTATTATATCAGAACATCTCACTGTGAACAGTGCTGTTCTGGGGATCTGCTCGAGTCCCTCAGGATTGTCTTCGACAGCTAAAATTCCGAATAACAACAAGTTCCTGTCATGTGACCATGAAGGGATCCTGAAGACTAAAACAGTCTAAAACATCCAGGGCTAGCGCCTCATTGTTTCTGCTGAGCCACATGTAATCATCCTGCTATTCAGCTAATTAAAAAATGACTGGAAATAAATGACTGGAGAAGGTGCTGTGTTCCAAATGAACCAAGTACTGGTGGGTTATTGATTCATGAAATTTCAGCTGGAGTAGGGCAACATGAAGTGATCAAATTCACAATATCAGCAGCCTTTTAAGGTCTATTATTTCTGATTTATGTGAAGAAAAAAGCAGATAGTGTATGCAGCAGGTCCCATCTCTCCTCTCTTTGCATCTTTAAAGTCTTCTTTGCATCACTAAGGGTATCTGAGTACCCCTGACCGGCTCAGTTGAATATCCCAAGTCACTGCCTTGGCTAGGGAAAAAAAAGATGTTGCTATTGCACTCTCAAAGGCAGGTGATTGGGCATCTGCCAGTGATGGCATAGCTGGAGAAGCACTGCTTGGAGAAATCTCAGATTCTGTACATTACAGCAAAAGCTATTGTTTCTTTCTCCTTTTCTCCCTGTTGTGATCCCTTCTTTCCCCGTGTCATGTCATGGCTGCTCATTCTTCTTCTCTTTTCCCACTTTTCTCAGTAGTAATGTGCACTGGTGTTCTCATCACTTGTGTGAAATCAGATTGCATTATACACCCAGCCCCAGCTGCCATCAGTCTGCGGCTGCAGAGTCAGGGCCTGTCTGTGTGCGTTTGACTGTTGCCAAGAAGCTAGCAAAACTAAACCACCACAGTCAAATTTCTGATTGTTTTGGTTTGTGTTTGTGCCTTTGTGTGCCTGTTAGAAACGATGGAGTAAATGACCCACCTATTTGATGACCTCTTCCCTGAGTGGAGGACTTCACCTTCTGAGCTGTGAATGAAAACTCAATTCAGTGAAGGGAAAGGAGGGAGGTTTGGTGTTTAGAAGAATGTAAAGTAGCATTCAGTAAACAAAAAGAAATCATTTAGTGTAACCTGTTTATATTAGATTATTGCAGCACTGTTACTGTTGGCACAGTTGACTCATCAGAACGAGGCTGAAAGCTGCTTTAGAGAAAACCTTGAAGTGCTCTGAACAAGGGAGGAAACTTAGCCTCAGTGTAGTAAAATGGTTGTAATATAGTAAAGTTTTC